TAGGAACAGGCGTCCACTTGTATAATTACTTTACTTTTTTAGTAATTAATACGTGATTTTGTAAAGTACCTTTTACATTTTGCAAATAAAAGAAATCTATAAATTATCATACACATTCCAACATAGAATTTTACTTTATCGAAGAGTATTTTTTACCTTATCGCTGACAAAATTTACTTTACAGCACAGTAAATACAACTGTTTAAAGTCTGAATTGTTTGTGTTTACAGTTTGGAGAACACATATAGTATAATTTACTTTACTGTAAGAATAATCACTTAATAGATTTATGTAACGTACTTTTTACCTTACACTCCAATATTTTCTTACTTTCAGGTGAGTAAAGTTTAAGTTTGACAAAAATAGACGGAATATTCTTACTAATCATGCAAGGTAAAAATTACTCGACAATTTTTCTCCGTATTACTACATACACATCCTCTCTCTGTACATTGCGATATTTCGCCTTTTCTTGCATCGACGAAACGGAACGTGTGAACGCCGAAACCTTTTATGACGGTTTGATTATAAGGATTACGGGATTACGTGGCGGGCAAGCTTATTTATACTTAAAATCCGAGTGTGAACCCCGAGTGAACAGCTGCGTTTTCGCGACCCTTCCGCGCCCTTTCGTCACGCACGGAACAAGCGCATGCTGTGTACATACATGCCTTTACTTCCTCCTTCTTTCTCTTTCTCCTCACCGTCTCGCTTTCAGGCTCGTTGGCTTTCCTTTGTTCTTGCGGTGGAACGGAGTGACCACGGGAAAGAAACATGAATACGACCCGTCGCAAATGAATCGGGCATACGCTTGTGTACCAAGTCTAATTTTAAGCCATGACCGTAACATAACCTGTTCGCTTACGATTCCCTTTATTTCTTTTCGTTGGATAAGCTCCACGAAGAAAAAAAACATATTAGGTAGTATCGATAGACCGACTGCATGTGTGTGCAAACCGATATAAAAAAAATCGCGCCACAGAAAAAAAGCTTCTTTCGTTTTCTCGTTTGAACGTTAATCGATCGTTGCAATTACGTGAAGTTGGCACCCGACTTCACGAAACTGATCGTCGCACTTATTGTCAAATCAGCGTCTTTTTTCTCTTTCTTTTTTTAGTCTCTCTCTTTTTTTTCCTTTCAGTAGATCAATACCATTAAATCGGAAATTGACCGGTGAAAGTTCGTGAGAAATCTTGACACGATAGATAAGATTCAAGCACACGTATTTGATTATCCAAAAAATGAAGCCGAGAACATCAAATTCCACGTAAAACAAAAAGTTTTACTTCTATATGAACAGTTGCTTGTAAGGTAATTATTAATCTGTTCGATACACGTAGAATGACACACAGTGAGGAACGCAGCTTGTTCAAGAGTAGTGTCTTAGTGAATGATATTACTCATTCTTCTACGTCGTCACATCCGCGCCGCGGCTGATGCGTCGCGCGCGACTCGCATCTGAGCGAGAGGTGTGAGTCACATAATCATTACAGATCACCGAGGTAATTACGTTATGTAAGCTCAGACTACGAGCGTATCACGAGCTGTCTAACTCTCCTCCGTCCTCCCTATCTCTATCTTATAAATTTTCTTCTTTTGTATCTGTATAATCAATTTATGTATCAATTTTGATAAATTGTTGTGTGCTTGAAAGAATTATGTCCCAGCAACTTAAAACATCAATACACACACACTCTCTCCTCCATCTATTAAATTTTCTTTTCTTATTTCTAGTCAATTTATGTTACAATTTTGGTAGATTATTGTGTGCTTGAAGGAATTATGTCTCGTTTAATAAATATCGATTTCTCTCTACCTTTCTCCCCTCTCCTTTCTTTTTCGAGAGGGTTATATTGGAACGAATTCTAGTTACCGCTGTCGCGAAAGAAAGTATTCACTTCTCTCGCTCTTTCAACTCGTAATCATCAAAAATAGCAGCACTAAATTTCATCGCATCTGGAACTAGTGGAACTAAGTTTCTCGATATATGGGTCTCATAGATTCATCTAAAACACACGTACTCGATAGAACGTACGTTTTGTCACGTAAATGCAAATGCATATTTAATGTGTATATAAATATATATACATATATATAGGTAGACCATTTTAATTAATACACGCGAATATCTCGGAAGGAGATATTTTAAAAAAATCTTTCAAACTAGAGTTTTTTATAACATAGTTTCAAAAAGAAAAAAGATGGCAATTATAGTTAACCTTGAAAAAACGTCCTTAAGATCAAGTCAAAGTTGTATAAAATTGTTTAAATAGAATTCTTTTTCCTATTTTTTACTTATACATATTCTTGTAGCTTGTTTCAAGAGCTTTCCAAAAAAAGTACAAAGCTGTAATAACTGTAATTTTTTCGAAACAGATTAACAATTTTTTTACCTTACAAAGTCATTTTGACAGTCATTTTTTAAACTTTTATATTTTTTTTAATATAAGAAACTACAAACGAAATACTATTATTTTGTGTATAAAAATTTCAATTTATTAAAAGTCGGGTGCCAAGTTTACAAAAATCGAAAGTTACGATACTGCCGGCCGAGCTGCTGGCATTTGCATTATTTATTCTAAGGTATTCGACTGACGACTAAAACCTTTTAAATGTTGCTTAGAGACATGATATCATATGTCAAAGTTAAAATTATTGTAGATTGTTCTCTTTATTTTCATTTTTGTACTAAAAATTCTTACCTAAAAATGAAAATAAGAGAAAGAGAGGAACAACCTCCAATCAATAAAATAAAAATCTCAATTTCAAAAAATTGCTCTTGATATGAACTTAACCTCACAGATATGTATTAATGTGTATATTTTAATTGTGGAAAAGAATTTTTTAATCTGTAAAAAAAGGAGTAATTATAAATTAAAAAATTATTGCGTCTAATCGGTAAAACAGACAATCGTCATAATAATATTTATACGTATACGCCCATTAGTACCGATGGAGCATCTTAATCTAGTTAATATTAATTTGTAACTGTTACATGATTAATGATTATTGATTGATTTTAAACATTGTACGTTATGTAGGTACGCGTGTGATATTGCTGCGGAATTGAGTTTGAGTCAACGTTTCTTTACTTTGAAGAATTCAAATCAATTTTTATCTCATTCGTATAAGATCGCAACATGATACAATTCACACGAATGATTGATATAGATATCTTTTGCGGTGGTTTTGTATTTTTATTCTAATCACACACATGCGTGTTGATGATAATTATAATTGAAGTCAAAACGTACGTATTTATTTATTATCTAGCTAGCTAACATTTGCGACTTTAATTTCATTTTTAGTCGTTCAGTTATTAAAATGTTTGTACAAAATTTACAAACTATTTACCATGCCAAGCCCTTCTTTTTTTAAAACTGTTAATATGTTTGTTGAATTCAAGTTGCATTTAATATTGTGTTTATTATTGTAATGTTTACATGTAAATTGTGTGTGTGTGTGGATTATGTATTCTCAAAATAAGCAAAAATAGAATTCGAATCGCACTTGCTGTTAAAATGTCTATTTACCTGCGAAATACCTTATCAGCTCATTTTCATGCAACTCTTTCAAGCGCTTTTAAAATCAAATTTTATGACTATCTTCGGCGCTTGAGTCACCTGAATAACTAATCAGAAACCATATACTCTGATAAGTTAAGATCTGTTATTCCCTATTCCTATTGTATAACCTATACTTTTCAATTATAGGTTTTATCATGTAAATAACGCGCTTATTTGTTTAGTTATTTATCACGCCAACTACTAGCATCTTTCATTTTGACTATCAATTTGTTTGTTGAATTTGAAAATGCTATTAATGTGTTTATTATTATGTTTATGTGTAAACAAATACATTTTTGCAAATATACTTTGCAATTCTACGAACCTCTAGACGTGCTTAGACGTTCTACAATTTCATTGCAGCTTTCTCACGCATAATGTTCCTCTTTCAATGTTTACGGAGCTATTTCGGAGTACGTAATAAATTAATTTATTTGAAAATCAGGAGGACTTTTAGAAGCAACTATATAACGTAAATTGCGATCCATTCGATGCGTCTCGCCATGAATATCGCGCGATCGAAGAGTTTCACCTCTCGGCTTCGCTCACCGCTCAGCTCCACTTCTCGTTCCGCAAAAAGCGCATAATCTAGTGATGTCGTTTTCTGAAAAATGTCTTCTTGAGAATCGATTCATTTTGGGGGCCACGATTTTTATATTCGATTCAAGAGGAAAAAATGGGAATCAATTTTAAAGAATCGAGTTATAATGAGTCTGTTGTTATTAAACACTGTTTAAAAAAAAAATAAGAATAATTACTGCCAACTATTTATTTCTTTTATTGAACAGTTTTGTGATTTCCAGATGAATTCTCGTGGAGAATTCGACATGTCGTCGAACGTAATTCATGGTTCTACAGATAAGAATCAATGACACATTTAATCACTTGACGATGACATTAGAGAGTCTTTACAATATCATGTAATCAGATAAACGTTAAAGTCACGTTATTTAATGAAAAATTAAGACTGCGCATGCGCAGTTCGACTTTTTACTAAATAACGTGACCTTTACGTTCAACGTATCTGGATATCGCAAAAAACTCTCTGTCATCTCCTCCATTCTGTCCACAAAAAGGATCGACAATGAGAGGGAGAATCAAATTTCTTAGAATTGTCTAACGATTCGATTCTCGAGTGCGAAAAGAGGATCGATTCTCGATGCATTGAATCAGAATCTGGCGTCATTAGCATGATGCTAAAAGCTGACGAGAGGTTTCGATTTAAACGCGCTATACATATCGTCGAACGCGTCGCGCGGGGAAGGCGCTGAAAAAAACAGCGCTTCGGCAACGGCGGCGGCGACGACGACGACGACGCTCGTTATTGAACGGGCCCGAAAACGTCGCGCTTTCGTTTATGTGCGTAGAGAACGGAGGAGACGACGCCTCGACGCGTCGTTGCGCGCGCGCGCGCCCCGTCGTTCCTCCTCTTACCTTTTTTTTAGCGCGAAAGTCGTGCCTCACGCCCGGGTGCTCCGCAGCGGTGGTGACGATGACGACGACGGTGACAACGAGCACGACGGCGACAGCAACAGCAGCGATGCGGTAATCCAATATGGCAGCCTACACACATGTCAAAACAAACGCACCGATGCAAGAGTGGAGCGCGGCGCCCCGATCCGGGGTCTTGTGTGCTCCGAAAAATTCGAATCGTCACAGCCGATCATCTGCGACGCCAGGACACATGACGACGCGTCGCGTCAAAACTGCGGGATCACCGTCGTCGTGATGTGATACAAATGCGCGAATGACGTATACGCGAAGGAGAGAGAGAGAGACGACGAGGAAGAATGCTGGCCCTCAATCGCAATAAACGACACGTACTTTGCGAGCGCCCGCCACCGACTAGACTAGCCAGCCAGCGACTAGCGAGAAGCAGCGAGAAGTGAGACGCGCCAGGCAGTGGGGCCAATAGTGGGTGCAGGACGACAAGGAGGAGGGGAATCGGCGAGACCTCAGTGGCGCTCAACCGAGACGGATATCCCGCTCGGGCTCCCGATACCCTTCACCCTTGTTTATCCACGCTCTCTTTTACGTATTGATAGAAAAAAAAAAAGGTATCTATTATTACGGCATCACATTTACATTTTATATAATAACTTAATTAATGATCGATATTCGAACTTAAAACTTGACGTGTACTTTCATCAAAGTGTTGTTCGATCGATTTTAAACTCAAAATTAGAAATTACATTTAATATTTAGAACACTGTTTATAAAAATATGGTAACACTGCATAATGGCTCGAAGAGAAACAGGGATGGTCTTCCGTAAAAATAAAAATTTATAAAATTAGTTTTTTGTTTAAAAAAACATTTACAAAATTAACAAAAAAGTAAAATATTGCAAAACGTATGCAAATAACCCAATTATCGGCATACAACATTTAAAAAATATTTTTTTAAATATATTCTTTAAATATTCATTTAATTTAAAAATATTAAATAAATTAGAACAAAGTTTTTAATATTGTATGCTAATTGATATATATATATGATATATACATATACATATATATTGTATATGCTACTCAATACTAAAAATTTATACAATACATGCAACATAAACTATAAATTAACAGTAGAGTTTCGATCGATTTATAAAATAATTAATAACAATAAACAAACAGGCCAATGAGAGTCAAAAACAGCGGTAGTTAGTGCGAGTTTAAAATTATTTATTACAATATAATTACAAAACTAAATCAAACGTTTCGGCTACTATTTGAGCCATTTTCAATGATATGAATAATACCCCTTCAAATTTCATGTAGTATGGTCGTCAATCAGCTGCACAGGTGTAGCGACACATCATCTCCATTAGACAAAAAATTAGTTGGTTTTTTGGTGATTAATGGACAACAATGCAGCAAATTAAACAAACATAAATCCCATCAAAAGAATTTATAACATTATACATGTAAAATGATTTTGACTATTGTCCGTTGACTTTGTATCATTTTATTCTACATGTATAATGTTATAAATTCTTTTGATGTGATTTATGTTTGTTTAATTTGCTGCATTGTTGTCCATTAATCACCAAAAAACCAACTAATTTTTTGTCTAATGGAGATGATGTGTCGCTACACCTGTGCAGCTGATTGACGACCATACTACATGAAATTTGAAGGGGTATTATTCATATCATTGAAAATGGCTCAAATAGTAGCCGAAACGTTTGATTTAGTTTTGTAATTATATTGTAATAAATAATTTTAAACTCGCACTAACTACCGCTGTTTTTGACTCTCATTGGTCTGTTTGTTTATTGTTATTGACATTCTCGAGAGTTCTATTTTTGATTTAAATTTTTATAAAATAATTATTTTGATATGAAAACCTTGAAAAAGAGAGAAAGAGAAGCCGTCAGCTATCAACACGCTGAAGAGGCTACATTAGTAAAATGCTATGCTATTACTTAACTTTGCATAATTCAAAATATACACAGCCAATTAAATAACAAAGAACACACTCAAATGTATATATATTCGTATAACACGCTCAAGTTTAAGAAGAATGAGAACATATTTATAAACTGTATCTTAAAAACGAAATGCTTAAAAATAAAAATGCGTTATGAAATGCTAATTATTATATATATAATAGTCGACACTATTTTTTCCTTAGGTATTCACAGTTATTCTCCTCTACGTTAGTCTCCTCTTCCTCAAAATCATCAAAAACATGTACGTATTTATTTTAATTAATAATAGTATTTATCTTAACAGCATGTGTATTCTACAGTCACGTGTGACATATATTAAGAAAACAGGAGGATCTATATGTTTTTGAGTTCTCTATCGATTTCCATTAAACAATTTTTCGTATTGTATAATCAATATAGGAATGTCAAAAACAATTATATGAAAAAAGTCAGTCCATGAAATCCTACTTAATAGTTTAGATACCACTATGATACTTAGCCCTTTTTATGGCTATCAACTAATAAATTTATTGACTGTAAACTAATCAAATATTTCATTATAGTGCTCAGCCTTCATATTAACGTCATTTTAAGTTATCGTCTTCAAGATGAAGATGAATATACAATAGTTTATAATAAAAAAATTAATTTTTTAATTACTTTTGCGATATGAGTGTCTACCAAAAGATGAGGCTCATGAATAAATTATTATTATTAACTGTCTACAGATTTAAACCTCCACACCGCGTCAAAGTTGTAATAGGGGCATTTTATCTTTTTATTTAATAAACTTTTTAATTTAAAAAATTATAAAATTTTAAAAACTAGTTCGACTTATGATTGCGTTTCAACATTGATACATAATTTCGGCGCGCAGTTTGCAGAACGAAATATGTACCTACATTTATAAATTTACGCTAAAAATATTATTTAAACACTGAAATTCTAAACTATAATTAAGGCTATAGTTACTTATTATCAGTTTTTTAATACTTTTATACTTTATATTTTTTGTATATATATATATTTATATTCCTGATGTCTTAAGTTATTTCACATATCTTTGACAATATATTTCTTTACATAAACTATTATTGCGAAAAAAATTTTTTTAATAAGAAATATGAAAGTAGTCTCTATAACAATTATAATCTTGATGCAATACAGAGGCTTAAATCTGTAGGCAACTAATAGTGATGATTAGGGATACATCGGATCGTTCGAAAATTATCGGATATCGAATATCCAAAAAGAATATGACACTGCATATTCGATAGAGTAATTATCCGGTCTGATATTTTCTATCCGATACAAATTTCCCATAATTTAAAAAAAAAGAGGGAAAGCAAGGGTAAAATAGCGATAAAAATTTATCGCCTATGGAACAGGCTTGTTTGCAATATAGTTTCAACATTGCTTAGTAATCAAAGTTTAACACGTTTTAATAAATTTTTCGTGATGGACAATAACAGCGTTTTCCAACAACATTCTCTATAATATACACTCATTCTAACTTATATTGTCTCATTCTATAACTTTAATTAAAGTTGTAGAGCGTAACGATATAAATTAGAGTGAGTAATAATATACAGGGTGTTTGATAATTCTGCCGACAACGCTTGTGTGCTGATAGAGCGGACTAAACTGAGACGGAAATTTTTTTAATCATTTTACAATCGTTTACAATAATTTTTACTCAAGTACTATCAACTTTACAGAAAAACAGCAAGTGACAAACATTGTTAATTTTTCCCTCACAGAGTTTTAAGAATTTTTTCAGAACTTTTTAGTATCGTATTTTCTTATGTTCGTAAAAAGAGTTAACAATAAAAAAATGCAGTACTAAAAAGTTATCAAAAAATTCTAAAAAATTTTTTAGAGCTCTATGAGGAGAAAATAAACAATTTTTGTTTCTTGCTGTTTTTTTTATAAAACTGATAGTATTTCAGTAAAAACTGATTGAAAGCCAATATTTAACAATTTATTTTAGTAATTAATATCTCGTTAACTATAGCGAAAATTGTAAAATGGTAGGTAACTTCCCATGGACGTACGCAGGATTTTAGTTGGGAGGAGGGTGGGATCAAAACTCTACCTTCACACGAGATTTATTAAAACATACCTATATTAAACTCCAGTTCGAGATTCTTCAGTGAACTTTCTTAATACTTCTTCCTTTAGTTTTTCTTTCTTTGCAAGCACCATTTTTTTCATGTACACTTAACATACAAAGTCCATTGAGACGATTTTCCGAACATTGTTGACCGCAACCAAGTTTTTATCCTTCGCAATGTACTAAACGACCTTTCAATCTGTTCGTTGTGCACGATTGAGTCAAAGAAATATGCAAGGCATGTTTCGTTGCTAGGAAGAAAGTTTCAGCTTCTTTTAATAGCTGTATTAATTCCAATTCTTTGAATTCTTCTTTTTTTATTTCTCCAGAGAATATGGTATACCATAGTTCGGCTTCATTGTCAAAATTACTTAAATTGTAATAATTAGAAAAACTGTGTACTTTCTTTTTAAAATCTTCTAATGTCATATCCAACATAATATAAGGATGTAGGACTAATAACAAAAAAACCGATAAGTTCTCGTTGGAAAACCGGAAAATTATTATTGACCTTTTCCAGAAAATTGATAATTTCTTCATAGCACATTCATTTTTACCTTTAAACACAACATCTATTTTGTGTAATCCAGTCATAGGTAAATAAGGTAACCGGACTCTATATAGCCTACTTAAGTTTGTGATTTAGAAAAAATGTTTTGTGAAGTCCAAAGTTGAAAACTGATAATCTAATTCAAAAGAGGAAATATTTCTAAACATGAAAAAATATAGATATAAGATATTTTTAATATTTTATATATGGATGGCAGTAAAGATTTTAAAAGGAAGTGGCCTAAGTATGTACATGTTCTCTCTTTTTCGTAAAAAATTTTAGAAAAAATATATATAAGTGATCCAATGTTATATTTATAAAATTATAAGTTTATTAACATGAATGCACAAAAAACTATTTTCCAAGCAATCGATTTATCTACTTAACTATCGTATTTATTATATTTCCACGGCATTTAATAAGTAAAACAGAATCCATGGTTTGAGAAGAATATAGAAAAATATATTACAATGGATATGTGTGTACACTTAGGGTGTGTTCCGTATTTACAAAACTGTAAACATCATTTTATCTTTGTTTAATATTTGTCAACAAGGATAAAATGATGCTTGTAACGTATGAGCGAGAAAACGAGATGCATCTTTAGTATGTCTAGGGTTGCGTTCCGTTACACACGTTAATATGTGCATGAAGTATCATTTTATCCTTGTTTAACACTACGCGAATATCAAAAGAACGCGTTTC